ATTTCCTGTCTGGATTATGTGCTAGCCTCCTACTTTTCTCCAGTTTATTTTCCATTAATCCATTCTGTACTTAATAGCTTTATTTTTACAAAAATTTTAATGTTGTCATACTATTGTTCAAAAGTGGTTAGTTTCTCTCTAACCAATTGAACTAAGGCCAACGTATTTAGTTTTATTTTGATGATCTCTCAATGTTCTACACACAATCTACCCCTGTTATCTTATTATTCACTAGTGCACCAGTGGGATCCCTCAGCCTGGACTGTGGGATTGGGTTGAAACCGGCTCTCTGACATCCCCAGAGGGGTCCCAGATTGTGAGAGGATGCAAGCCAGGTCAAGGAACACCACTGGTACAAGATTGGGTCCAAGGAGACATGTGGGATATAGGCCAGCTGGGGAGGGAATGCAGGAGGGCTCTGGAGCATGTCCAGCCTGCCTCTCTCTGTCCCAATTAGTGGACCCCAGCAGCAAACTAACTTACTGGTTGGAGCATGTATGGGAGGTTGGCCAGCTGGGGAGGGAATGCAGGAGGGCTCGGGAGCATGTCCAGCCTGTCTCTCTCTGTCCCAATCAGTGGGACACCAGCAGCAAACTAACCTACTGGTCAGTGCATGTCATAACAACTGGTGGACCAGTAGACTGTTTTCCCACTGGTGGTCATTGCACATCATAGTGAGCGGTTGAGTGGCCTTAGCATATCATTAGCATATTATGCTTTGATTGGTTGAACAGATGACCTGATGACTAGACACTTAGCATATTAGGCTTTTTTTAATATAGGACTAGAGGCCTGGTGCACGAAATTCATGCATGGGGGGGTGTCCCTCAGCCTGGCCTGCACCCTCTCCAATCTGGGATCAGGCCTAAACCAGCAGTAGATCATCCCTCCCACAATCTGGGACTGCTGGGTCTTAACAGCTCACCTGACTGCCAGCCTGGGTCTTAACAGCTCACCTGACTGCCAGCCCCCAACCACTCCCCTGCCAGTTTGATTAACAACTAACTGCTCCCCTGCTAGCCCATGGCCCCCATCTACCCTCCGCTGCTTGCCCAATGGCCCCTAATTGCCCTCCCTGCCAGCCTTTTTGCCCCTAACTGCCCTCCGCTGCTGGCCTGGTCACCTCTAACTGCCCTCCGGTGCTGTCCTGATGGCCCCCAACTGTTCTCTCCTGCTGGCCTAGTGTCCCCCAGCTGCTCTTCCCTGCTTGCCTGTTACCCCCCTGCCTGTCCTCCCCTGCTGCTCTGATCACCCACAACTGCCATCCCCTGCCAGCCATCTTGTGGTGGCCATCTTATGGTGACATGGGGGTGGCTATCTTGTGACGATGTGGGGGCAGTCATCTTGTGATGACATGAGGCTGTTGCTCAAGGGCATGAGGGCCACCTAGGCTTTTATTAGTATAGATTCTTCTTTGTAGCTAAGACACCCAAAGGCCTATGTCTAATCTGTTTCTACCACTACACTTTCGCTCATGCACTTTTCCACTGCCTGAAAAACCTTTTTTTCCCCATTTTTTCATTTCCATTTACTGAAATTTTGCACATACATATTTCAGTTTTCAATTTATAAAGAATTATCTGGATCCACAATAATATATACTTTCTTTGTTTTTCTGAACATGTTAAAACACTGATTGTGCCGATTGGAGAAACCCATTTTATATACTGTTTAACAATGGCAGTTATTTTTTATACTGTTTTTCTTCATTAACCATTCTGCTCACTAGGTTGTGAGCAGAATCAGTGAAATCTCTATCTTGTTAATCTTCGGTATAATCTATCAAAATATTTCAAGTCTTTGTAATGTTGGATTCTGCCCAACAGTACAACTGAATTCCACTCAACCTGAGAATTAGGATGGTAATGGATTGGGGCAAAAATGTCAGTAGTTTGGCCAAAGAGTGCATATCTATGTATAATAATAAAAGCATAATATGTTCATTAGACCGGAAAGCTGAACAACCTTCCAGATGTCCTTTTGGATGAAGCTGCAGTAGTGGGGGCCAAGGAAGAGTCAGTTAGGGCCAAACAGGCAGGCAGGAGAGCAATTAGGGAAGATCAGACATTCAGGCAGTGGTTAGGAGCAATCAGGCAATCAGGCAAGCAGAGGTGTTTGGGGTGATCAGCCAGGCAGAGTGGTTAGTGGCATCAAGCAGGCATGCAGAATGGTTAGGGGTGACCAGGCAGGCAGAGTGGTTAGAGGTGATCAGGAAGGAAGATAGAGGGGTTAGGGGTGACCAGGCTGGGAAGCAGAGGTGTTAGGGATGATTAGGAAGGCAGGCAAAGTGGTTAGGTGTGATGAAGCAGGCAGGTGAGTGGTTAGGGGCAATGAGGCTGGCATGCAGAGTGGTTAGGGATGATCAGACAGGCAGGCAAGCAGTTAGGAGCCAGTGGTCCTGGATTTTAAGAGGGATGTCTGACTGTCAGTTTAGGATCCTGTAGTGATCCACTGAGGGGTCCCAGATTGTAGAAGGGTACAGGCCAGTTCTGAGGGATCTCCCTGCCCCCCGTGCATGAATTTTGTGTACTGGACCTCTAGTGTGTGTGTGTGTGTGTGTGTGTGTGTGTGTGTGTGTGTGTGTGTATGTGTGTGTGTGTGTGTGTTTTATATATATATATATATAAAAGCCTAAGCTACTGGTCAACCATTTGACCACTCAACTGATTGACCAGTAACTATGATGCACACTGACTACCAGGGGGCAGACTCTCCCCCCTGGTGGTCATTGTGCTCCCACAGCGGGAGTACCATTCAGCCAGAAGCTGGGCTCATGGTTGGTGAGCGCAGCTATGGTGGCTTAAGCCTCTCCCACCTCTGCAGCACCTCTACCATGTGGCTGTAGGTGGGGGTAGGTGCAATGGGGCTAGGATGAGCGGGAGCAGCACAGAGCCTGGCCCTGCTCCCTGGCTGCCTGCCACTTTGTGCACTGCTACATTCCCTGAGGGGTCCCAGATTGCGAGAGGTTGCAGGCCAGTCTAAGGGTCCCCACTGGTGCACAAATCTGTGTACTGGGCCTCTAGTTTATTAAAATGATTGATATTTATGACTACTTTCTTTCACATACGAAATGTTTTATGTAGTTAAAACATATGATAGCCTTGGCATGTGCACTCAGGTAGTTGGGCATTGTCCAGTGCAGCAACCAAAAGGTTGGTGGTTTAATTCCTTTTCAGGGCACATTCTAGATTGTGAGCTTAGACACTGGTATGTGCAGGAGGAAGACAATTAATGTTTCACTCTCTCATTGATATTTTCTCTCTCTCTCTCCCTTCCTCTCTCTCTAAAAATCAGATTAAAAATGTATTATAAATTCAGACATTTGCTTAGGGCAATAAAAATAATTCTTGCTCAATTTCACCTTTATTTTTTAAATCATGGCCTAAATTTTAAGCTAAACATATACATACACATTTTTTAACGTGCACATGAATCATCTTGGACTTTTTAAAACCAGAGTCTGATTCAATAGGTCAAGGGTGGAACCTGAGGCTCTACATTTCCAACAAGCCCTTAGGTGATGCTGAAGCTGCTGGCTTGATGACCAACTATTATAGACTATTTTACTATGGATAGAAGCAGACTAAGGAACACTAGTTCCCTTTTCTCTCCTCTGTAATTCTTTAAAAATACTTTAAGAATAGTTGTTCTGATTAATCATGTTCCTGCTACTAGTGAAGAGGTAGACTAAGCAACTTTCAATCCCCCCCTTTTAAAAAAATATATTTTATTGATTTTTTTTTACACAGAGGAAGGGAGATAAAGAGGGACAGAGAGCTAGAAACATCAATGAGAGAGAAACATCGACCAGCTGCCTCCTGCACACCCCCTAAGGGGGATGTGCCCACAACCCATGCACATGCCCTTGACTGGAATCGAACCTGGGACCCCTCAGTCCGCAGACTGACGCACTGTCCCCTGAGCCAAATGCTAGTGAAATTGAAATTTATTTTAACTTAGAATCAGAATACCTGTCCAGAATATACATATTTAGTTTAAAACAGATCTTTTAATGCTAGCTAAACTAAGATAAGTTTATGGCAAGAAAAATTTCTTGCACATTGCTGAGAAGTTACCTTGGCCTCCTATTAGGACGAGTATTTTGATACTTTTGGAATTAATTATACACTTCACATAAAGGATTATTTTTACATCTTGGTCCTCTGGAATGAGTTCAGCAGGGAAATTGTAATGCCAAGTAGCAAAAGAACCTTTCAAGGAGCTTCCACTTATTGTATGTGTTATTACAAATTATTATTGACTATAAATGCTGGTTTTTTTTCATTCCCTGGATGTGGCAAAGAAGAACATATGTTAGATTAACCTTATGTGAAGGACTTGTAAATTTATCTTTAAAGTCTGAGATGTGAAACAATATCTGACCTTAACAGGAGCACTATAATATAAACAAATACTTTTGATATATTTTAGGAATATTGTTAATCATTATATGTATGGTTATTCTTTTATTTTTATTGAATACACGGTTCATTTCAAAATGGACATGGTTTGCCCTTTACATACATTGCCAGAAAAAAATTGATTAAGAAGTGTAAGTTTTCTTTACTGGAAGCCAAAGCATTAATCTCTCTTGTGTAATTGTTTAATTACTGATGCACCATTTTAATTGATATCTTGTTATAACTTTTCATGGAAGAGAAGATATGATCTTTGATTTTTGTTTCTTATCTAATGAGAAACACTCTTGTAGATGGGGTAGTTTGGCAATTTAACTTAGGAAAAAGTATTATAGAATGAAGTTTTTATGTGAACAAGGAAAATAAGTGAACTTTTGTGCTCATTTCATTGGTCTGCCAAATTGAAAGGACATTTTAGGCCTGATTATCATGTTCTAATTAGTCTCTGTAGGATATTTATGGGCCATCCAATGCTCATTAATCTGTCTTCTTCCTGTAACATTGATTTGTTCATTCTCCTTTTGGAGACACAAATATAGAAACCAAAAAATTGATCTGTGGTGTTAATGTGCTTACTTACAGATGTTGCCACTACTTATCCAGATAAGAAGTCCATCTTAATGTACATCACATCACTCTTTCAAGTTTTGCCTCAACAAGTGAGCATTGAAGCCATCCAGGAAGTGGAAATGCTGCCAAGACCATCCAAAGTTACTAGAGAAGAACACTTTCAGTTACATCATCAAATGCACTATTCTCAACAGGTAAGGTGTTGAAAGAACACTAATATAAAAGATGTTTTATATGCATTGTTCGGTATCATCCCCATACACATATGTGTATCTCTTATATCTATGGATATATACACACATACATGTATACCTAATACAGTATGTATGTGGACACACAAATATGTTATTTGTATACATTGCTCAGTGGTCCACAAACTGCAGCTCACGAGCCACATGCGTCCCTTTGGCCCCTAGAGTGTGGCTCTTCCACAAAATACCATGTGTGGGTGCGTAAGAACAGTGCAATTGAAATTTTGTGGCTCATGCACAGAAGTCGGTTTCCGGCTCTCAATAGAAATTTCAATCATTGTACTGTTGATATTTGGCTGTTGACTAATGAGTTTGCAGACCACTGACATAGCTTAATATATGTGCATATGTGGATATATGTTTTTGTGTTTGTATACACACACACACACACACACACACATATATATATATATATATATATAATGTTATGTATAATAAATATATAGAGAGAGGGAACGGAGGAGAGAGAGAGAGATTGACTATCAACCTTTAAAATTGTATCTAATATCATGAACTGTAATATTGTTTTCTAACAATATTGTTCAAATACTTTGCTATTGATAGGTACCATATTATAGCAATATGGAATACAGAATATATTTTATTTTCATTGTGTAAAAGGAAATAAAAGATAGGTTCATATACACATTAAATTTTATATCAACTAGAGCAAAGAATTAGAGCATGGTTTGCTCTTTACATACATAACTAGCAAAAATTTGAGCTGAACATGTATGTACACATGCCTATGTGTAATGTAACAGTAAATAGTCCTAGATTAACCTTCTTTAATTTAATGTTTTTCCCAGCATGGTTTTATTTAATACATGGAAAAGAATGAAGGCAAAGACTCTATTGAATAATATTTCTTTTTTAAAATATATATTTTAAAATATATATATTTTATTAATTTTTTACAGAGAGGAAGGGAGAGAGATAGAGAGTTAGAAACATCGATGAGAGAGAAACACCTACCAGCTGCCTCCTGCACACCCCCTACCAGGGATGTGCCTGCAATTAATGTACATGCCCTTGACCATAATTGAACCCAGGACCTTTCAGTCCACAGACTGACGCTCTATTTGTTGAGGCAGACCGATTTCGGCATGAATAATATTTCTTATTTTTAGTGGCAATCTGCTGATGCATTGATAAATTTTGATTATTCGAAGTAACATTTTGCTAAGATAAATGAATTTAAATATTTTAATTAAAAATTAAATGGAGACAACATATGAGAAAAATTTTATTGTATCATTGTACAGTATCCTGTGGGATTCTTTTATTATATGGCCTGTTCTGGCTGCCAGCAGTGGGTATTTGGGGTGTTTCCTTGAACTTTTGTTTTGACACAAACAATGATGACAAAGCTGGTAGCTAAATATCTGCAGAAGGTGTGGAAAGCTCTCAGACCTAATTTTCTCACTCTATGAGCTAATTCTATATTTAGGTTATGAAAGCTTCAGTCCTTTCCAGGGTATTGACCTGATAAGTTTTAGTTTTCCCTACCTTGGGTTCAGAGAAAATTGCTTTTGCATGCCTGTTTTTGCCAGATTGAAAAGTACCATCTAGTATTTGTGCTAGAGTTGTATCAGTATGGAATCCATATGGTTAAATCTCACCTCCACATCTCTCCTGATTACCTGCCCTCCATCATGACAGTGAGCACTATAATCCTTAGAGTGTACCAGTTTCTAATAGCACTGTGTATGTGTTTAATTTTCATCTCACTGTTTCGATTTAGTATTAGTTTTTTTAGTGTTTGGGAAAGCAGTCCTTTCAGGGTTACTTACAATGTCTTTTCCTCTCTGTCCCCCTCCCTCTAACTCCTTTCTGCAGATCACAGTCAGTCTAGCACAGGGCTATGAACGAACTCCTTCCTCTCCTAAGCCTCGGTTCAAGAGCTATGCCTATGCGCAGGCTGCTTATATCGCCACCTCTGACCCCACACGGAGCCCATTTCCTTCACAGGTCTGTCAACTTTTGCTCTCTGTTCTACAAACCAAAGAATTTTTTCATTCAAGAAAATCTAACATGGCTTTTGTTTGTTTGAATTTAGCAGTGCTTTCTCCTCTGCATCAAGAGCTGTTTCATTGTTCCCTGTTTCATTAGTTACTCTCCCATGATGCTGTTTTGTTATTGCGACTTCTCTTCGGGTTTTGATTTTTGCTTTATTGTTTTATTTATTATTATTATTTTTTTACAATTTTCAATTACAGTTGACATAAAATATTATATTAGTTTTAGGTGTACAACATAGTGATGAGACATACACCTTATGAAATACTGTAGGTTTAACACATTATTGATTCTTCCTGAATGGGGATTCTCATAGTAGTGATTTGTACTTTTATTATGTAATTACTATGAAGTTCTCTTTTACAAAGGTTACTGATGGTTATAAATAATAATTAAGCTCAATAAAGGCTTATACATGTAACCTTTGAAAGAATTGGGGAAATGGATAAAATTTACTAGGTACATTATTTGGGGAGATTTTCCTTAACAGTTTTATATGTTAAGGAAATGTATACTCTATATAGATGCCTTTATTATATTTAAAATAATTAAGGTCATTAATTGAAAGGATATTCTTTAAAGTATTTTCATATTCTATTAAAAAACATAACTGCAACTTTCTTCATATGATCTCTTTTAAGGTGGCTAGTTTAAACTTGTATATAATAGGCTCTGTAGTGTGTATACAAAAAATCACACTGCAATCAAATCAGAGTCTATGTACTGTTTAATACTTACCACACAAGAAATGTTCTTAATGCAGTTTTCCACCATTGCAATATTGTAGGAAACCTAAACATACAAGAAATTATAGCCTTATATATGTAAGAGTGTGGAAAAGAAATGTGCTGGAATTGCTAGATTTGCTAGAATTTCTTTTTAAAAGAAAACTTTATTTTGCTGAGTAAAGCAATTTGAAAAGTTCTCGAGGAAGTGACTTTTATAAAAACTATGCTAATAATGGGCATTTAGAAATTAAAGACCTTCTCCTTTTGGCAAAACCATATACATTATTAGAGACTCATTGATTTTCTTTAAGATAATGTTTGAATAAATCGGTGATTTATTTGGTGTAGTTCATCGATGCATGAAGCTAAACTTTCTTAATACTGGAAGATTCCCCCAGGAAAATGTATTTCAGGGCTTAGGTATGCCATTTATCTTTGGCTATTTTTCTTGCAAAGCTAAACAAAGGAGACTGGGTGCGAAGAGTTGTATGATTCAGCCTTATCTTCTATTAAATTCCCATGCACGTTTTCACAAAGCTAATTGTATGCAATTGAACAAGAAGCTTAATCTGCTTTCTAATTATCAGTAAATAAAAATAATTCTACCACACATTGCTCTTTGCAATTTTCGATGTGTACACATTATGTGAACTAATAATATACTTATAATATGTATAGAGGTGGGAGGTGCTATTTTATACTTACCGTATTTTCCGACGTATAAGACGACCCCCTAATTTTACAGTTAAAACATAGGTTTAGGCCTATATTCGCCTACCCCCCACTCAAAGAAAACACTTACTTTGCCATCAAGATCTGCAGATAATTTTTGTGCAATTTTGGTCTTTTGCCCCTGATTTTCGGTTGACTTTTTTCGTTTCAAAAGTTGTCTTATATGCCGGGAAATATGGTATTTGTAGTTCTTGTATACATTCCCTTTCCTTTCTTTTTCTTCCCTTTCCTTCCACCTTTCTTACTCTCCCTGACTCTCTAGGCTCTTTTTTTAAAAAAAATTTTGAGGAACTTCCATATTGTTTTCCAATGAGCATGGTGCAAAGTAGTTGAATTGTGGATATGCTTTGAAAATCGACAGTATTTGCTAATATAATCTAGAACATGTGTTTGCTATATTCTTTGAAAATATTGGCTTGTGTTTTAAAAAGCCAAAGAGGATAAATAAAACTTCTAGGATGCATTAAGCATAAATCATAAGTAAACTAGTAGACAATGCAATAGGTATGAACCTCATGGGTTAAATTTAGCTGACAAGGAAGGAAATAGTCTTGAGACATTGGCAGAAGTTAAAATGTATGTTAAAATATAAAGAGTAACTTAACCTACTACACATATTGAAAAGAGATGGGATAAATAATGGAATACACATGACTGTTACTTGTGAATGGAAAGTGATGAAAACACCAAATCATAACATATGATCATATCACCTGTGGGCTGACAGCTACATCATTCCTGAATTATCACCCTATAATGATAGTGTGGTTTAATTATGGTCTCCTAGGTGTTTTACATTAAAAGTGCCAATAAATCTCATAGCTATTTAGTAGGCTAACTCATGAGCTACAACTCTAGGTCAGGTATACTCATTCCTGCATCTCTCCAGTAGAGTAAATGTACATGGTAGCCTTGGGCATCTTCTGTCTATTGGACCCCTTGCTCAGGTATCACCTCTTGTTCTATCCACATCATCAGCAGTGAAGGCTGATACAGCAAAGCATATGAACATTGTGTAATCCAAGATTTAAATAGTGCAATACTTCTGTTTGACCTTATCCAAATTGTATTACCTTCACATCTGATTTACCTTGCATCTTGCAGGTAATATATTTTAATTTATTTATTTTTAAAATTAAACATATTGGCATGACATTGGTTACTAATAACATTACATAAATTTCAGGTGTACATCTTTATACTGTAATATCTGTATACTCTATTGTGTGCCAACCACCCAAAGTCTAGCCTCCTTCCATCACCATATATTTGACCTCCTTTATTTTATTTGATTCCCCCTACTTTCTCCTCTGATAACCACTATTCTGTTGTCAGTATCTGTGAGTTTGTTTTTTGTTTTGATTGTTCCTTTTTGTTTTATATCCCATACATGAGTGAAATAATACAATAGATGATGGGATTTGAACATATTCATTTGATTGGTGAGCCTTTGTGTCTCAGGATCTCTGGGATGTCATACTGATAGCAGAATTGAGGTCATTATTCATCAAGGTCATGCTCCACATTACATAGTAGATATGAATTATGACATAATTGAAGGATCCAAAGATTGCTGTAAGGTTTTGATTTAAGAAATTTGAAGAATGGAGTTTCCAGTGATTAAGACTGGATAGACTGTAGGAGGGGTAGGTTTGGGAGTAAGTTAGAAGCTCAGTTTTGAACATATTAATGTTGAGATGATTATGAAACGTTAATACACATAAACCTAAAGTTGTAAGTTTAAAGTTAAAGATAATTAATTTGGAACTCATCAGCAACATAGATTGTATTTAAACTCACTGATACCATTTAGGAAAAAAGTACAGATAGATAAGAGATCCAAGGACTCAGAGATGAGAAGCAATCAGTAAAAGGGATTTTAAAAAAGGCCAGAAAGAGGAGAGGAAAAAGAACAATTTCAATGAACAATTTCAATTTCAGTGTTATTTTATTTATTTATTTATTTATTTATTTATTTATTTATTTATTTATTTAGTGTGTGTGTGTGTGTGTGTGTGTGTGTGTGTGTGTGTGTGTATGTCGGTGATTAGAATGGGTTCATGAAAAAAGGAAAGTGAAATAACCTACACTGAATAGCTTATGTCCACATGGAGAAAGGTGTATTTCTCTTGGATCAACCTATCCTGCTGATAATGAATGTCGAAATTAGGTTCTTCCTGCTGTAACAACTAGCCAAACCTTTAGTGCCTTAAAACAATTCAAACTATTATCTTACAGTTCAGAAGTTCAACATGGGCCTCACTGGGCTAAAATCAAAGTGTCAGCAGGACTCCCTTCCTTCTGGAGGCTCTAAGGAAGATTACATTCCCTTGTTTGTTTGTGTGTTTTTTTTCTAGCTTTTTAAAGGCTTCCTATGTTCTTTGGCCCGTGCCCCCATTCATTTTCAAAAATAACAAGTACAACTTGAGTCTTCTCGTATCACTCTGACCTACTCTTCTGCCTCCCTCTTCCACTTTAAAGGACTCATGGTTACATTGGGACCAATTGCATAATCTAGGAAAGTCTACCCATTTTAAGGTGAGCTGATTAGCAAACTTCATTCCATTTGCAACTTTAATTCTTTAATGCCACATAATGTGACATTCACAGGTGTCAGTGATTAGGAGATATGCATTTTTAGAGGGCTGTTTTTCTGTTCACCACTGCTTTGGGATGCAGATAGAAAGAAGATACTCATTACTTGCAAGCTAACAATAAGATTGGTATTATATGGCTTTTTCCAGGTACCACCAAGTACCAATTTGTCTCCTTCCTCTTTGTTAACTGCACATGAGCCTCTTCCTTTATCCAGAGGCATTGTGAAACCAGTCTTATCCTGGAAACAGTGTAGCAGAAAAAGAAACAAGCAAACATCTACATACCTTTATTTCTGCATATAAGGCCTTATTGATCTTTCTGTTCCTTGCACAGCTTGGGGCAAAGATCCCACTCTTCAACAGCTCACAAAGTAAAGGAACCAGGCTATGGAAAATTAGCCATACTTTTCTTATATCTGCTAATTTTAGCATCCAGAAGGAAGGGAGTCCTGCTGACATTTTGATTTTAGCTCAGTGAGGCCCATGTTGAACTTCTGAACTGTAAGATAATAGTTTGTGTTGTTTTAAGGCACTAAAGTTTTGGCTATTTGTTACAGCAGGAAGAGGAAACTAATATGAATAACTAATATTCATACCCTAGCCATCTTGCTAGAGAAAAAGAGGCACCTGTCTTCTTTAACATTTGTAGTATTGAAATCTCATTTGATCAGTTCAATAAACCTGTGTAATAATTTTATTACACCCATATTTTAAGTGTGTGTGTATACAATTTTAAATATTTGCAGTTTTTCTTGCGGTGTGAGAGAGTAAGCATCTTTACATGTATATAAGAACTGGGAGGATTTCTTTTTTAAGGAAATTTTCATGTTCCCCAATTTTTATCAAGAATTGCATATTATCCGTTAGCAGGAATTATTTATACATTAAGTACATT